CTAGTGGACCAGTATTTTGTAAAATACAGTCACATTTTGGTTATAGTACATTATATATATGTACATATATTATTACTATTTACAAATAAGTTCTTAAATTTCACTTATTTTCTTAAAACATAGAACAGAATATAAAGAAGTATAGAAAACAATTACCTCTTCTGGTTATGAATTTTGTACTCATTTGCTTCTTGCTGTAAGTTGGTAAGCCTTATTAAATTTTGGGCATGGTGGATGTAAAACATTTTGAGCTTTTGATTGGTTATACTCACGTCATCTCTTTAGTGATGTAGATGTATGTAATCAAGTATTTTCAAAAATGGAAGAGGTGGGCAGGGCTGCCTTGCTTCATTCAATAAATAGATTAATATTTCAGAATATAGAAAAGGTAGGAGGCTATTACCTTATATTCTAGCCTGTTACCTCACAGGATGCTTCCCTAAATCCACATTGAATCAGGGGTATTAGAGAGTGTTAAGCACATTTGCTGTGTTTCTTATGTATCCACTGTGAAATGGGTTTTTTACAAGGTCTTTACAGTGGTATATATATATATATATGTCCATTCCAGACCTTATCTTCCATGGACTTTCATGGAAAAAAGCCAGCACAGGAGTAGTGCCTGCCCACTTCTCTGGCTCCCATATGCTGGCTTTTCAAAATAGATGTTACGACAGTGGGGGTCACGTGACGCTAGTAACACGTCATATTCTCGAAGGTTCGTGAATGCTCAGGCGTTTACTAGATTTCGGTATTCTTGTACATATAAGATGGTCAAGACGTGACGGCAACAATGTGTAATTGAACTGCGGACAGAGAGAGACGTATTGTTGAGCGAGCATGTGAGACGTTCATTGTGAATTATAGTGTTTGTTATAGCACAACTGTGAAAATTAAGTGTATTGCATAGTTGTATTCAGAAAGAATAAACCAGTTTTATTTAAGAAAGGACTTGTGTCGCTAAAGTTTCATCGGAAAAAAATTATACGGGAAAATTAACTAACAACCAGAGACGTAACAAATTGGTGTCAAAGAGTGGGACAAAAAAAAATGGAAACGAGAAGTGGAAAATCAAACTACAGCTTAGCAGATTTGATGGCAGCAATACAAGAGCAGCAAAAGAAACAAGAAGAGAGACAATAGCAGTTGCAAGAAAACCTGCAACAGTGGCAGCTGGAACAGCAAAATAAACAAGAGAGATTACAGCAGTTGTTGGAGGAAAAAGAAAAGAAACAAAAAAGAGATTACAGCAGTTGTTGGAGGAAAAAGAAAGAAACAAGAAAAGAGATTACAGCAGTGGCAACAAAACCTGCAACAGTGGCAGCTCGAACAGTAAAATAACCAAGAGGGACTACAGCAGTGGTTGGAGGAGAAAGAAAATGAACAAAAAGAGAGACTACAGCAGTGGATGGAAGAGAAAAAAAATAAACAGAAAGAAAGTCTCCAACAGTTACAGGAAAGTCAACAACAGTGGCAAGAAGTACAAATGGAAAACATTAGTAAATTTCAAAGCGAATTAAATACATTAAAAGATTATTTATTGTTTTTTACACAAAGAGGATACATTAACCATCGACTTAATCAGCCCCAGACAATGGCAAGCCCTTCCAGACCCTGCAGCTAAACCCTAAAGCAGACATCTTCAGTCCTGTTAGAAGTCACATCCCAGATATGAATGTCAGCAATAGGGGTGAACTAATACAAAAGAAGCCACAGGAATTGATGGGAAGGCACCGTGGGAAGCATATAGAGCACAATTTGAGCTACTGGCAGAGATGAATGGATGGACAGAGGAACAGAAAGCTGTGTATCTGGCAACGAGCTTGAAGGGACAACCACTGGAAATACTTGGACAGTTGACAGCAGCTGCCAGACACAACTATAGA